CCGCCGAGCCAGCCCCGCGCGCCGCTACCTGCCGCACGAGACGCCCCCAGCGGCCGCCGCGCGGAGGGAGGGGTCGAGCGCGAGACCCCTCCCCCCGCCTGGAGGAGGAGGCGTGACCGCACTCCTGCGAAGGGAGGAGGAGGAGGAGGAGGCAGAGCGCGGTGGGCGGGGCCGGACGGAGTGACGCATTCACGTCCTGGACGCATGGGGCCGCGTGGGTGACGTAAGCCTTGGGGGTGGGGCTGGGCGGAGATACCCGCCTCCAACAGCCCCTCCCCCCAGGTGCGCGCGGGGCTTCCGCACTCGCCACTGGGCTGCGCGGGAAAATGAGGCGTCCGCCTGAGCTCAGCCCGCCCCTCCCAGAGCTGCCCCGTCACCCCGCTGGGAACAAGCAGGGTGAAAAGAAGAGTGAAGGGTGCGTGCACCCCAAGGCCTGCAGAGAAAGAATTTTTTTGCTACTATTTAGTTGGACTAATAAAAGATGGGGTCTGTGACCCAAGAGCTTTGTTCATCCCCTCAGACAAGGTTCTTTGGGTAAAGCCGATGTCTTTTATCAGACCAATATTCTTTGAGTTGGTCTAATAAAGGACACGGATTTACCCAAAGGACCTTGTCTGCCTATGTCCTTTGACCAACACGGCTACAACCAGCCTTGCATGAATCCACTCATACTCTCTTCATTTGTCTTCAGCTCCAGGAGGCCTCTGCAGCCCCACCTCCACATCTGTCCATTTGTCACTGCCCATGAAAAGAAACAGGTCACTAGCCCTGCTAGTATGAAGTTAGTCTGACGGCAGAGTAGATCCGCACCCTTGTAGGCTAACTACACAGGATCTACTCTGCCATTGGACTAACCCAAGTTCACTTCAACAGTAGGAGAGGCATGAAACTTACAGAACCCCTAGGGACAAAGGAGTCACAAAAATGAGGCCATGTGACCATGAGAGAGCTCCTGAGGGCTGAGGCACATTAACCTGACTCCAGGAGCTGAGGCTTTAGGAAGACACCATGGGCTGTGGGACTTGTAGCATCTGGGGAGTTAGCAACTTGTCCAAGCTCTGGAGATGGGCACAGATTTTCAGCAACTGACAGACCAATTTCACTAACTCTTAAAAACAACCAAGTCACCAGGTGCATTATGCTATTTGTAGTCCAGGCTTATTCTCCTTTATCATGCTGCTTGGTGTTCTCGGATGTCATCAGGCCAGACTTGATTTTAATTGATCTTAATGAGTATTTCCTCTAGTGAATTCTTGTGTCTCTAGGGTCTTTAACTGGCAGATTACAAAATAAATGTCATGTTTTGCTTTCCTGTCCTTTAATTTGGTATGCATGTCCAAGCATTTGTCTGTTTTCCATTTAACTGCTGTTGCTAATCCTAAATTTTATAGGAAGAATAGGGTCAGAGAAATTGCTACATTTTATCAGACCAGTGGTCCATCTTGTCCAGTATCTTTCTTCTAACAGTAGCTAATACTGGGTGTTTCATGGTAAGAAACCTTGCTGTTAGGGCATAATGTGGAATTTTCTTCAAGCCCCAAGAGAAGCTGGTGCATGTTCAAAAGCCACAGGGTTTATTGCCTTTGTAAAAACTCTTTTAAAAATATACTGTTGTAACTGGATTTTGATCTATGGTGTCTAATGGGTTAGTCAGAAAATGGATAAATATGTTAATTCCGTATGCAAACAACTAGAGCAAATGGACAACTCTAAATAGCTTGTAAAAATACAGGACTCCAGCAATAAATTTGCGGGTGAGAGCAGAAATGTTAGGGGGAAAAAGACAGAGCACCTATTCAGCTTCAAATGGGTGTTCCAAAGAGCTGTAACAAGTTGGGAAGTAAGTTTTCCATAATTTTACCTATCACTTATCTGTAACATAAACCTTCATACATATTAAAGGAATAAAACAAAGATCTAAACACTATCAACTATAAGCAATATATATATCTTTTATCATGGCTACTTGTAAAGTATTACATAAAAAATTCTTAAATCTGATGTAAAAGGAGCTACTACTGTGGTCCAACTAAGGTGGAAGGTAAAAACACTCTATTATCTGGGGGTTACAATGGCAAAGATGCAATTTCTGTCAGACACAACCAAACCCATTCAACAGCCTCATCCTCTTAAAACTTAAGCCATGTCTACCCTTCAGTCAAATAGACTTTAATCCAGCTACTTTACTAAACTCCTGCCTTCTTGCATACACTTCATTACCTAAGTGCAAAGAGAGGTAGTTAGCTGGGTTTTTCTGAAGTCAGGCAGGAGGCTGGGTAGAGATACACCTTACAGACTAACTGAAATGGAGATGCATAAAATCACTCTGATTTAGTCTGTACGGTGCATCTCTACCCTTCAGTATTCAAGGGTATGTTTACACAACAGTCCAGGGAGTGACTGCAGCTCACATACCCAAACTATTTTTAAACTAGATAGCTTAGGTATCAATGGCCACGTCTACATGAGGCATTTACTGAGCAGTTGACTAATTAGCTGTCTAGTAAACATCTTGGCATCTACATGTGCACCCCTATTAAACTGGAGTAAACTAACTTAAAAACTGTACAGCAGCACACATGTGGATGCTGCCCAGCTGGCTGGAGCATGAGGGTGCTTCAGTGTGGGCTGCCTGCTGGCTAGCCCCACACTGAAGCTCTCTCATGCCCCAGCTAGCCCCTCCGAAGCATGTTGAGCTGGGGGTAGTGATGGTAGAAAATGTTACTTAGAGGCTTACTTTTGAGAATTGGCTTGTAGGTAAAGTAGATATGCATTAGAACAATGGTCCAGGGCAACAACAAGGGTTAATTGATTACTAACAAACCTGTTTGTGACAGTTTCTTCAAGGCCCACTGTGTCTGACACAGACAAGCAGCAAGCAGACGCACAGGCTGGGAAAATGAAGACGTGTACCACACTGTTCCCTAACATGAGATAAGAAACTTTGCCATGTTGGCCAGGTCACAGTGCCCAACTGCAGAGCCCTTGGGATTTCTGGCTTTGGTAGATGGACCAAATTAGGAGATACCAGAAAAAAACCAAATTAGGATGTGTTCATGTGATGGGTTTGTGAAACAAAGGAATATGCTGACAGGACAGAACATGGACAGCATGACAACTACAGAGAGACCAATCAGCTATGCCCAAAGATGAAGAGTCATCAGAAGGAGGCAAAGAATACAAAAGGAGGGATTTCAGAGCAGCAAAGGGCCCCTGAGAGGGGAACACAAGACTATCTTGGACAGACGGCACACCACCAATCCATCTCAACAACCTCACTGGGAGTGGAGAGTGGGCTTTAACCTCCAACTCCAGGCTGCTGACATCTGACATTCAAGAGAGAACTGCAAAGTGAAGCTCACGTACTGGCCAGATGTAACTTGACTCTGTGAACCCTGGGACTGGTAGATATAGAATTATTTGCATTATTCTTATCTGCTATCACTATATATCAATAAAATTCACCTATTATTGCATGGAGAGGTTGTGGTCAGTCTGAGGGTTTTGGCTCTGCCTGGAACAAGGTATCTGGATCATAAATCCAGTGCCAACAGGTAGCAGCCCCAGACCAGCAGGCTGAGCCCCAGGACCCCCTGCCAGCTGGGCTCCACATGTCACACCTGAATATACTATGGAGCTTATTGCTCTAGAGTTAATTGCTCCCAGGCACATGTTCAAACAGTGTGCCCAGGAGCAATTAATGCCAGAGCGATAAGCTCCACAGTTTATTCAGGCACCATAAATGCATGTGTAGACGCAACCAATGACAGTGTAAGTGCAGCAGCATTGAGTTAGTGTGGATTAGCCTAGGTTCCAAGCCCATGTTATCATGGCTTTACTGCTATTGCAATTGAAACTAGCTAGTTAAAAGTTAGCCCATATATGTGAGCAGGGGCTGCAGTCTTTTCTGTGACCATATTGAAAACACACCCATAAGGTAATGAATGATGTGTCAAGGAACAGAAGGTCATTGAGACAGCTGAACTAAAGACCATCCTATTTGAACACTTTCTGATGAAATGGGAAAGTGAGGTGAATGTATCAGTGTGCTTGTCAACTCTTTCTTCCTCCTTGCCATTCAGTAATCATGTCATTGCACTTTGCTGTGGCTCCTCCTACCATCTTTTTGTAGCCCACAATACACTATAGTAGTACAACATAGATGTCACATAGGTATTTGCATTAGATTAGTGTATAAAAGACTGGAGGTGGTATAGGGCTTCCATGACTGTCTGTGATTCTTGGGCAATTTCAGCTCTGGTCAATGTTTTAGTATATGTCCTACGTTAGCCTCTAGAAGTGACACTGTCCAAGAAATGCTGTGAAATACTGCCTTTTTTACATTTCCTGCCCAACTCAGTCAACATAAATTCAACCTTGCTGAGATTTAGTCTTAGTCAATTTCTAGGTAAAGAATTCTGGACTTCTGCAAGGCAAGTTTAAAGACAAATAATATCTTGTTTAAAGACTAAAGGAAGAAATGCAACATTGACTTCAGTGAGACTGTGTGAACAAGGCAGGCTGCGTACATGAATTGATTCATAGAACTCAAATCAGAGAAGCTATGATGGAGTAGTAACAGTAAACTGTAGGAAGGTAGAATCATCACTGTGAATGATTCATGTCCTTACCTATTACTGAACTCTCTTGATGGTAACATGTAAAAACCAATAATGTGGAAAAAACATCAGGGATCTAACAAAAGACAAAAAATAAGAAGCCACCCATC